GACTTCTGGCTATATCATATTATTTTCCTTGAAGTTTCAAAGTCTTCTTCCACTTCAGGTAGATTATCCTTCACTTGAGTTCTTCTTTTTTCGCCATCGCAAGATTTCATATCGGTTGAATATTTCTTTTAAATGTGAAGTGAAGCAACCTTTACTTCTCTGAAAATCGTCTTCATTATCTTTGTTTCTATCTCCTGCATTCACAGTGTCCGCTCAACACATCAAAGACAAGCTCTTAGGTAAACTTCTCACAAAAGTAGAAAAAATTCCACGCGCCATCTTTGTTTTGAATTTTCATCTTTTGATCTCGTGCTTTTTTCGCACATTTCTCTCGCGAGCGTCACACAAGAGTGACTTGTTCTCCGTGCGAGGAAACTGGTACGAGCCACCTTAACTGCATTATGCCACAGAAAAAATGAATCTCCAAGTTTAATTTCTTGGTCCATCCTTGTACCAGTAGTAGACACAAGTGACTTACTTTTGAGATTAAATAGTTCATCAGGAAATTATAGACAGAGTAAAGAAATAATGGGTTTCTTTATTTCTACAATTCTGTTTTATGTGGGTGGAAAAAACTATGCTCAATTTGCAACTTGAGCAAGTGACTGTGAAAAATCTCCTAAAGATAGTGTGGCAGTTACTAGTGCAGACCTTAAATGCTTTGTCTTATGATAAGTCAGTACTAAATACAGCAGGCAAAAGTGAAAACCATTACAGACATCACAAGTTTTTCTCAGCCCTCTTTTTCTTTGCCATACATTCAATTAAAATTTTTTGTCTAATTCATAAATCTTCTCTGTCCTCTTGGCAAAGCTTCATGCAAGCCATATTGGAGTCTAGAACCAGATTTAGGATCTTAAAGCTCTGTATTGAAGATGGCAGATTTTGGAAAGTTTCTCAACTGCTCAAAAGGCTGTAGTTAAGAAATTATGCTGCTTAACTTATTCACTTTTTGATGATCAACAGATTAAGACTTTCAAGGATTATGTTGGACTGTATTTGAAAGCTAGAGATGATGAAGATGACTTGGCATTGGGTAGTGAATCAGAGAAAAAGACTAATTCTGTTGTGCATGAAGTTGTTAATAAGCGCTGGGAAGTTTGTGTTACCACAAGCACCAAAGGTTTCCAGCAAGCTAGCTTTGTCAACAGCATAGCCACAACCAAGGTACAGTAGAGTCAAGTTCTCTAATACTGTTTTAAAGCGATGAAACATTGATTGTCCAACAGTTTTTTGTTGAAGCAGTACAACATATATAATAATTTATCATTTGTAAGTTTCTGATCTTTGCAGCGTGAATGCTCATTCTTTTTTGATTGCCTTGTTGACATGAATTTTTTTTCTGCACCCTAATTTTTATGAATTTGGCAATAAGGGAAAATCATGATAAAGTGAGATGAATGATGAGAGTTGCAAATGTAACTGTTTGTGAAAATTCACAAAAGCATTAAGAAAAACCTTGGATTAAAACACTTTGTGAACAATATTGGAAGGTAGGTGTTGTAAAGGTAGCCAGAGAAGAGAGCAGTGATCTCAGCCATTTAGAGGTCACCATGGCAAGTGAACTACAGCCCATCTCTAGACACAGTTTGACACAACACAAAAAAATTGGAATGAATGAGAGGTATCTTGTCACCAGCAACTTAGCTAGTAAGTTGAAAAGTTAATGTCAAGCCCTGGGTGCGAGGGGATAGAGGGAAATGGCTTGCAAAAATGTAAGCAAAAAAAATACCCATACAAATCTCTCGTAACAGTGCAACAACTTAAGGCAGCAACAACTGTGTCTCAAACTTTTATAGAAATTGTGTAACTTTCTCATGTTCACAACAAACATGGCTATTTACACCTCACTGATATTATAATTTCCTATAAAAAGAGGATAACTCTTGAACTCAGTAATAATGCAAGAATATTATACATGAAAAAATCACATGCCCCTGATTGGCTGAAAATAAGTGCATTTTTCATGTAACCAGTGAAAAGTTGTAACATTAGTGCAAACTAGAAATAGCACATGCACACTGTCAAAATTTCGTCTGTCTTGACTTTCTGTGATCCTTTTCTCATTTTAGTCATTGATACTGTAAGTATTAACATGATTACTCATGCAATTTGGTGTAAATAAGCACTTGTAAATTTTCCCAGACTATAAATGTGTGAGCCCTCTGGGTGTCTACAAATATGTTACCTCGAAAAATTTACTTTTTAATTTGCTAACTAACACCAAATTGCACAGTCAAGAAATCGTGTTATTACCTATACTGATAATACATGTAGTATGTTCTTTCATAGGGAGGAACTCATGTCAACTATGTAACTGACCAAATCACAGAGAAGCTCATGGCTGCGGTGAAAAAGAAAAACAAGGGAGGTGTAGAAGTGAAGCCTTTTCAGGTTAAGAATCACTTGTGGGTTTTTGTCAATTGCCTGATTGAAAATCCAACCTTTGACTCACAAACCAAGGAAAATATGACTTTAAGATCTAAAGCATTTGGATCGACTTGTGATTTCAGTGAAAAGTTTATCAAACAGGTTTGTATTTTTATTCTCTACACAATTATCTTAAAGTTGTTTTCATTTAACACAAAAAATGTGCATATCATGGAATTTTTAATGTATGATGAAATATGTCTCTTGTGTAAAAGAGATGTCAAAGTTTTTATCAGTGTGGTACAAGGGAAAATCAGAGGGCACACTTAAGATTTCAACTGTAGCTATTTCTGACTTGCAATTCAGGTCTTCACTGGGATGCAGGGAACTTGATGAATAACTACATATATACCATAATGTTGGTGATACCATTTCGAACTGAGTTTGTGTGTGATGGAAGAGGTTTAACAATGCTTTGTGAATGAGGGTTTTGAAAAAAAATTAACAACTTTCCCTTGAGCCTCTGCCAGTTCTTATTTTCTTATTCCATGGTCTTGAAACAAGTGTGATGTTTGAAACAGATGTGATGTTTGATCTTTTGATTTCTTTATTTCTTTTAGGTTACTCAGTGTGGTGTTGTTGAACATATCATGAACTGGGTGAAATTCAAGGCACAGGTACTGATACAAACCTTTAGCAGACTCCAGGTTGAATTCCTCAAATAATCTTGTGTCCTTAGAATGTTCTTAGGTGTTTAAGTGCTGGTAACAGAAAAAACACTTCTAAAATAATTGGAAAGGCACCACAAGAGGAATAAGGTGGAAGAACTAACTTGCACAGAAAAATTGCTCAAACGGTGACTCCCTTATTACAACACTGCTGCTGGCAATAATGCAATAATTGTACATGACACTTGAAAATGCCTGAGCACTTGCATTGGTTCTCCTCTTATCATTCAAGAGGAGTCCAAATTGATAGATACCTTTTCAAGTCTTTTTTTAATTAAGATGATAATGTGCATTTATTTTTGGGGATTTCATTGTAGACTCAACTCAATAAGAAATGTCAAAAGAGCAAGCACAGCAAGATTCGCGGAATTCCCAAATTGGATGATGCTAATGATGCTGGTGGTAGAAGCTCAATGCAATGTACGCTCATTCTCACTGAGGGTGACTCAGCCAAAACGCTGGCTGTAAGTGGCTTGAGTGTTGTGGGTAGAGACCGTTTTGGAGTGTTTCCCTTGCGCGGTAAACTGCTTAATGTCAGGGATGCATCACACAAGCAGGTATAAAGTTTAAATTTGAATTTTTTTTAGTGGGGGAAAATTTGATGCATGAATTTAAACCTCTTCAGTATACTCATAATTACTTTTGGGAAGTGCAGAGAAGAGTTTGGCATGGGTTGTTGTGAGCTTTTGTCAGTGGTTCCCAGAAAAATCAGAGATTCAGAAAGACACCATGTGATTCCATTTGATCGATAATTACATGTGACAACCTTAGAAATGTTAACTTTATGTTAGTTCAAAGAAGTCATCTGTTATTGTAAATGTAAATGCTCACAATTTAGGTCAACCTGATTAAGGGTACAATGTTTAAATTACCAGCTTCTCTTAACCCTGAACTAAAACAGACTTTTCATTGTGTGACTGTAGATCCTTGAAAATGCAGAGATCAATAATCTTATCAAGATACTTGGCCTTCAATACAACAAAAAGTACTCATCAGAGGAAGACTTAAAGAGTCTGAGATACGGTCACCTAATGATAATGACAGATCAGGATCAGGATGGCTCTCACATCAAGGGACTCCTCATCAACTTCATTCATAGTAACTGGCCTACTCTTACACGTTTACCGTTCTTGGAGGAGTTTATTACTCCCATTGTTAAGGTTTGTGTTAAGGTGTCGGATGGAAAATATGCTGTAGCTACACTCTAAAATGGGGGGTATCAAGAATCTGTTGAGATCTTTACCTTAATCTTTGAGATGCAGATAGAGATCTCTATGGCTGGGCCAAAAGAGAGCAATTAATATCCACATATACTGAATTTAAGTTGTGCATTGTTTCAAGTAAATGATTTGTGTCTGTCAGCTTGGCATAGCTATCAGTGGCTTGTAAGAAAATGTCTTAAATATAGAATCAATAAAACTTTCATTGGAGTTATGGCAAGCAAGTATTTAAGTTAATTAATTGTGTCTCTAATATCCAAATGGTGAGTTAAGTAATTAATCAGTAATGCTAACAGCACATCAAAATTTCAGGTCAGCAAAGGTAAAGAAGAGAAAGCATTCTACAGCATTCCTGAATATGAGGAATGGAAAAACAGTACAGCAAATGTCAAGTCTTGGAAAGTAAAGTACTATAAAGGTTTGGGTACAAGCACTCCCAAGGAGGCCAAAGAATACTTTGCTGACATGAGACGTCATCAGATTCAGTTCCACCATGAAGGTGCTGCATGTGATGAAGCTATACTTATGGTATGTACATGTACAATATAAGTCATGGGCAATAGGTATATCTTATTAACCAAGAGCGAAGGCCGTACTGGGAGAGTATCGGCCTGAAGTCTTGACAGTAGGGACTGAGCTTCGCTCGGTCCGTACAAAAAAGACCGAGGGCCAACATTCTTCCAGTACAGCCCCAACCAAGCTTGTTTAATAAGAGATTTATTATACGACTGAAGTTCAAAGGGACACAAGTGCGGTATCATTCGGGACCATTCGGGACAGTGCCCGGTCCAATACTTAGAGAATATTGGACCGGCAATAGAACATTTTGATTGGTTGATTTTAGTTATTGGCCCTCTGACTGCCCGAGTCGTGTAATAAATGGCTGTTATTACACAACTCGGGAAGTCAGAGGGCCAATAACTAAAATCAACCAATCAAAATGCTCTATTGCCGGTCAATCTTCTCTCAGTATTGGACCGGCACTGCCCTGAATGGTCCTGAATGATACCGCACTTGTGTCCCTTTGAACTTCAGTCGTATAATAAATCTCTTATTAACCAAGCTTGCTTGCGACCGTACTGGAAGAATATCGACCCTCTGTCTTTTTTGTATGGACGGAGCTGCGCTTGGTCCGTACTGTCAAGACCTCGGGCCGATATTCTCCCAGTACGGTCCTCGCGCTTGGTTAATAATATATATATATGTATATATATATCACTAATGGTTTTTGATACTATGCTATCTTTTCAAGAATGTTTTTCCATTTTGCTAGAGTACTGCACCTATGTTGAGTTAATAAAGTCAAGGCTTGAAAACACCTGCCTAAGTTTCCTAAGTGTATAGTTGTGGGGAATTTTCATTCTCTCCTCTCCCTTTAGAATTAAGTTTTCCATTTCATTGGGAAATTAGGAAGACAAATTAATTTTTTTAAAGAAGAGGTGTTGTGAATCAAGTGTCGCTGTAAAGTCAGTGTTGACTGGGGTAGCCAGGGAAGTCCTTCAAAAAAAAAAAAAAAACAAAACAAGCAAAGTCTGTCAGCTGCCAGGCTCTCTGCATGCAAGATAATAAAAATTGACAAATCTAGCACTGGCATTAATGGATCAGTTTTTTGCATGATTTATTTGTAAACAACTGTGAATTGTACTGTGAATTGTAGACTGAAAGTTTTGCTTTAATTACAGGCATTCAGTAAGAAGAAAGTTAATGACAGGAAAGACTGGCTCAACCGCGCAATGGAAGATCGCAAGTGGAGAAGGCAACAAGGGCTTTCAGAGGTTGGTCAAAGTTAGTTGTCTATCTGGAATTTGTTCATAAGAGATGTTGAACAACAAACTGAAATAAGTGACCAAGTTTTGCCTGTACAATCCATCATAAAAGAGTGTACACAAGAAGAAGGGGGCTCAAAACTGTTGGAAAAGTAATTATTATAATCAACTATCTTAGTGACCATGGGTGTGCTATATGAAGCAGAAATAAGCACAGGTTCTGTTGGTGTCTGCTAAATCAATTCTTTACTGCCAGTAGCTTTTTGCCTGCTTCAGTCAGTATGAATAACCCTGTAAATGCTTTGCTTGCCTTTCTTTCCTCAGGTTTACCTTTATGAGAAGGACACCAGATCAGTTTCATATTCTGACTTTGTCAACAAAGAACTTGTTTTGTTCTCTAATGCAGATAATGAACGATCAATTCCTTGCTTAGTGGATGGTAAGCAAGATATTGAATTCAGAAACAATGTTAAAAGAAAAATGAAATACTTTTATTTGATAACTAAACTGTAAATAAATGATCTGATTTTTCTGAATACAGTTGAATCTGTATTAAGCTGCCACCCATGGGGAATAGAAGGATGAGGACTTAATGCAAGATGACCACCTAATGCAGGTTCCACAGAATAGGGTTATCATTGTAAAAAAAAATGGTGAAGAAATGCCATTTTATGTCATAATTGACTACTTGATGTAAAAAAAACTTGCCAATAATGCTACTAGCATTGATTTTGGGAGACAAAATTGAAAGCTTTTTCATACTTTTATTTGAGTGATTGTGCTTTAAGTGACTATTTAACTCAGGAAGAAAGCAATAGAAAGAAGCTGTTGGGATTCAGAAAAGGGTGACCACAACTGCTTAATAAAGGTTACCACTTGCTATGGTACTACTTAATGCAGGTTTGCCTGTATATTTGTTTTAATTTATTTAATCAATCATAATAGTTTTGAAAACTGTTCTTCTTCAGGTTTAAAGCCAGGCCAAAGGAAAGTACTTTTCACCTGCCTGAAAAGGAATGACAAACGAGAAGTAAAAGTTGCTCAACTTGCTGGATCAGTGGCTGAACTGTCTGCATATCACCATGGCGAGGTAATTAATTAATGTCCCTAACCACCGCTTAATGATGAAGTCCCTCAAACCAATCAGCTCCCTACATGGGTACCTGTACTTCACACAATCTAAAAGTTATTTCACCTAAATTTGTGGTGATCCATAGACAGACTATTTACTACTCTTCAAAATGGTGCCAAAATGTATTAAGACTGAAAAAATAATCATAATTTAACAGTAATACAAAGGAATTCTAAGAGTGTCAAAAATTAAGTGTTAAGAGATAACCCATTATTTACAAAGTCTTCAAGGAATAATAAATAAAGGTAAATCCTTGGCAGAATTGTCATCAGCATCAGTCAATGATTATTGTCAGTGTATAAGTAGGATATCATTTTTGCAGTAAGTATTGAAGTAGAAAGCTGTAGATGCTGAGTCATGCAGTCAATGACTGCAGATGCTGAGTCAATTTCTGTTGCATTTATTACCAGCTGTCACTAGCTAAAATAAGGGGAAGATTTCCTCCCTATGTGATGAAGTATCTTTCTCAATTTCTTTCTAGTCGATGGCGCAACTATCCATTGGCTTGGGCTGGGGAAAAGTGAAAAATAAAGGGGAAAATATATATAAAATATATAACTTCTAACCTAAAGTATGTTAGAAGTTAGATATTAACTTAAAGTTAAACCTCCTCTCAACTTTCAAACTCTGGTCTTATTTACGTAATCTTTACCCATCTAGGCAAGTCTGATGGGAACAATCATCAACTTAGCTCAGAATTTTGTGGGCAGCAACAACTTGAACCTTCTGATGCCTGTTGGTCAGTTTGGCACTCGTCTCCATGGAGGCAAAGATGCTGCTAGTCCTCGTTACATCTTCACTATGATGAGTCCTTTAACAAGGCTATTATTTCATGCTCATGATATGCCTAGCCTTACGTACCTGTTTGATGATAACCAGCCTGTTGAACCTGAGTGGTATTGCCCTATAATCCCTTTGGTTCTGGTCAATGGAGCTGAGGGGATTGGCACTGGTTACAGTACCAAGGTGCCTAACTTTGATGTTCGCCAAATCATCAGTAATCTGAAGAACATGATCAATGGAGATGAACCCGAAGAGATGGTGAGCTCTTTAATCCCTCTAAACTTAAGAGTTATCAGAAGACAAAGCTTAATTAAATGAATCAAAATGTTTAAATATTTTGTTGTCATGTTCAGAGAATAGAACAATCACAAATGCACTGTACCTTATTTTATTGTGGGATGTGCACTGATAAAATTTTACAACAAAGATGTAGTTTTTGGATTTGAAAAATGCCTAATTTTAAATTTGTGGGCATGTGATTACATCTAGTATTCCATTGGGCTTCTAGTGGTGCAATAGTTTTGAAAAAACTTCTCAATCACAATGTAAATTCACAATTGATGTGAAAAGAATTAGGTTTGAAGATGCTTCTTAATCACATTGCAAATTCACAATTGATGTGGAAAAAATTAGTTATAGATTGAAGTGAAAAACTTTATACAAAATTAATTTGTTAACTTCAGTTTTTTTTGGTAGTTTTTGTCTTAAGCCTATTGGCCTGCTACCTTGTTCTGCTAAAATATATTTTCCTTCTTATTGACTCAAATAGAGAAATTGTTTTTGAAGGTATAGGTAATATGTACCTTTCTTTCCATGGTACAGAGGTGAAAACCAGTTAATGTATGTACTTTTTTTCCCCTTTCAAACTTAAGATACCATCATTCAAGAACTTCACTGGTACCATTTCTCAAAGTGATAGCCACAAATTCCTTGTGCAAGGTAATGTGGAAGTTGTTGACAACAAGACTGTCGAAATAACTGAGTTACCAGTTGGCACCTGGACACAGGTTTACAAAGAGAATGTTTTGGAACCAATGCTGCATGGTTCAGAGAAAATTCCTCCTGTTCTGACGTGAGTAGACAAGTGTTTGAATCAAACCAACCTATTTAAGTTATGTTATTTAAAAAAAAAAGTACAATAATACAAAAGTTAGTTTGGCTGAGGGATAGGTGAAACAATTCTAGTGCAGTAAGTGCTATATAACAGGATTATGAAACTGGCTTAATGATGGAAAACAAGCAGCATCTCAGAGTTACAGGTTCAGGACTTGTACCATCTTTGAAGCCAATTTGGCAATGTTGGAGTGATATTAACTCAACTTGTGTACAAATTGACACATTAGTGCACATTATGTGAGTTGTCAAAGATCACTTATTGAAAATGAGACACAAAATGATGTGCATGTACTTAAATGTAAGATTGGTGCAATAATTAGAATTGATTAGTATTTTTCCTAGGTTAATCTATTTGTTCAATTAACACAGACATTCACCAAATTGAAATATGGCGTCCAATTTGAATTACCATAATTGTTTTGGACTTACTAGCCTCGTCTTGACGTGGAAACACAAAAGGATTATCACATGTGTGAGAGGCTAGTCAGTCCAGAACAATGGCAATTCAAATTGAACGCCATATTTCGATTCGGTGTATGCCTGGAAAAAATAGGAAATGTACATATAAACCATTTTCAAATACATCTGATTCTACATGTTCTACTAATGACTTCATTTGGGAAATTGGTTCCACCCAATATTAAGACTTTTGTCTTTGTTCAGGGATTACAAGGAATACCACACAGATGTAACAGTGAAGTTTGTGCTTAACATGACTGAGGACAAGCTGGCTGAGGCAGAAGGTGCTGGATTGCACAAGAAATTTAAACTTGAAACTACAATTAACACTAGCAATATGGTGAGTTTAGCACTCATCCCAGCTATTATTTATTATTACACACTAGACTTACTATGAAAACTCTGGTTGATGGAGAGCATACAGTCAAAATACAATTATAGCATTTAAAGTTGACATAACCCAATATCTGCAGCAGATACTGGGTAAATGTTGGGTTTACAGTCTGACTAGTTTCCATGTCCCTCATTTGTGAAGTGTTCTCAAACTTTTGGAAACTCAGGAAGAAGTGTCTTCTTTTGCATGTTGCTTAAAAAGTGTATTTTAAAACAATTATTGAATTCAATTTTGCATGATATCATGAATTATCAACCTCTTGTCTGCATTATCTACCTCAGTCTTTGACTTCGGCAGATAACTTGGATCTCAGCATTGATAATTAGTGACATCATGCTCAAACTCATCCAATACTAGCTAAACATTTGTAGTTATGGGAAATGTAAGTTTTTCCATCTTAGTGCATTTTAGCAATAATTGCAGACATTGGAACATAATCAATGTGTGCTAGAATTCTTTCTTGGTCCACCTTTTTTCCTGACTGAAAATTTTTGCAGCCATAGTTGATAGCCCTTGTAAAGTCAGTTTTCTTGTGAGATGTAACCAACTAACTGTGTTCTTTGGTGACATAACTCCTCTTTGTGCTGCCAGTATCAGCAATGCAAGGATTGTTACTGTAATGACTCTTCACCAAGTGGAGATGGTTTGTGGTGGATATTTGCTGTGCCCCAAAGAGGGGAGGTAAATATCCACTACTGGCCACCGATATTGAGGTGAATAGTTGTTTGACTATATACTAAAACAGTGAGATATTTACAGCACAAAAAGATGATTGTAACAAATTTATTCCTGCAATAATTACAATACTTTCACTCCACATAACTGAATTAAATTACTTATAGTTATAATAATTCTTTGATTCTACGATATTGATTAAAATTATTTACTATATAGCACAAAAAGATGATTTAAACTTGTTTCTTCCTGCAAAGGTTACAATATTTTCAGGCACAAATCCTGCATGAGTTGCTCAAGGGTGAATAGTAAAGGATATGTGGAGTTTGAGTTGCCAGTGAGATCTTTAACACTATCTACTGTTTTAATAAATACAAATAACAGATAGTTCAGTTTATGGCATAGCTCAATAATTAATTAAGCATCTAACCAAAACCTCATTAGATTTAAAGAATTTCTGATCTAGTCAATTTGACATTGTTTTTGTTGGCGGCATATTTCAGGTTTTGTTTGATGCCATGGGTTGTCTGCGCAAGTATGAATCACCACTTGACATACTCAAGGAATTCTTTGAGCTGCGTTTGGAGAGATATGCTATACGTAAAGCATGGTTGGATGGAATGCTGACTGCAGAATCGAGCAAGCTCAGTAGTCAAGCTCGTTTTATCTTAGAAAAAATTGAGGGTCAAATTATCATAGGTGAAGACTCTCTTCATTTTGTTTCAATTCAAATTTCCATTTTAACTTCTATAAATCTTGTGCATATACATTGTAGTCACATGGACTTTGATCATTTGCTCCTGAATGAATGAGTTGTTCATTGATGGGCTGTTTGTTTCTTTGATCTATTGTTATTGAGGAGCTTACCAATTTCTTTTTCATCTTTGAGGAAACAAATATTTTGGCAAAATGCAATTCAATGGAGTGGGCTTTTCCCCAATACACAAGGGTGTGCAGAGGACATACTGTTTGGTCAGGAAAGCAAAAGCAAGAGGAATGCAAAAAGTCATTTTAGATTTGCATTAGAACAGTATTTTGCCACTGATTTAATCCAAAACTGACAAAATACTCTTCAGTTACAATGAATATAGGAAGTTCATATATTTTGAACTGCGGTATTAGATACGTATGATGCACGATCCTGGCAGTAGATAGCGCTATTTATGCAATAGCGAAAATCAGACCTGAAAAAAATCAGGCCTGTACGGGACTCGAACCACTGACCTCTGCGATACTAGTGCAGCGCTCTACCAATTGATAGAGCGCTGCTCTAGTATCGCAGAGGTCACTCTACCAATTGGTAGAGCGCTGCACTAGTATCGCAGAGGTCAGTGGTTCGAATCCCATACAGGCCTGATTTTTTTCAGGTCTGATTTTCGCTATTGCATAAATAGCGCTGTCTACTGCGAGGATCGTGCATCATACGTAAAAATACTCTTGTAAAAATGAAATAATCTTTGCAATCATTGTTCAGATTTTGACAAGTTTCTTTTTGAACATAGACTGTGCCATATCATTTTTTCACTGTGATAAGTTATGTGCAGATTAATTAGATTTTTTTATCATGCAATATAGAACATTCCTCAACATTTTGTTTTACAACCCCTTACCCTTTGTTCAAGAAGTCTGAGGGACCCCTGATGAAAAAATGGTGAGGTCTAATTTGATATGGATTTAAAAAAATGGTAAAGTATCCTACACTGCATGAGTTGCTACTTGTTCTTTCTAACAGAGAACAGAACAAAGCGGGACATAGTTACCACTTTGGTACAGCATGGTTACCCATCTGATCCTATCAAGGCTTGGAAAGAGATGCAGAAGTCCAGTGCACCTGATGATGGAGATACAGATGATGCCTCCAGTGTTGCAAGTTCCACGTCAAGCGCTGGTGGACCTGACTTTGGATACTTGTTGTCCATGTCCATGCTGTCACTCTCTCGAGAAAAGAAAGAGGAACTATTGAAAGAGAGGGATAATAAGGTTAGTGACATTGTATATAAATTTGCCAAAGCTCAATTTTCTCCTTTGTTTAAAGTTAAGTTTTCAATATTTTTGATAATGAGTTTGAATCTAAGGAAAATGAGGTTCAAACCAAGGATAATAAAAGCCAATTTTTGTATTTTAGAATTCAGCCTTTGCACCCTTTACACCCTAACATCTGTTTTCATATTCTCCTCACCATTCTCCACACATTTTCTAAGGTGCTGGGAAGGAGAATTTGCTTAACAATCAAGAGCTTCTCTAGTTGGTGATCATTATTTTTATTCTCATGACTTTTAATGTGTGATTCAGGGGTGATATTGTCAGGAGAAATTAGATGTTAGTCACTCTTAGGGGTCGAAGAGTTAAGGGATTATGTCAGCACAAGCCTCTTTTTTTAACCAAAGACTCGGTGATGTCTTATTTTACATAGAATTTTGATAAAGGAAGAGAGGGGGGCTCTCAGTTTCTTAACATCTCCCAGAAAAGATTCCAGTCGGTCTTGTCAAGGTGAAAAAGTAGTTATACATGTATAAATACATGTAACCCTAACCAGACCATTACTACAACAGTTGCCCATAACCCTGCTATTCTGGTTTAATAATCTTGTGCAACAATTTAGTTGGAATTTGAAATCTGGTTCTAAAAACGATCTCTGGCAAAAATGATTAAAAACTACGAGTTTTCGACTGCCCGAACTGCAGTCTTCGATGGGTAAAATGAATGATAAGCAGGCGATGAGAGAATTTAAATAAAGACACAAAATGTGAAATAATGAGAATGCAAATGAGTATGAATATTTGTTAAAAAGAATGTTGTATTGTCCTGGTAACGGGCAAGAGTTGTTATGTGCGTTAGGTGTCACTCTGGTATGTCACGCTTCTAATGATTTTCTGGTTCTAAAAGTGCCTCTTTTGTCAACAATTGACGCGTTTTCAAAATCAATGGCGTGTTTGTTGGACCAGGCGTGATTAGCAATTCTAAAACCTTTGGCCGCAGTTTTGATATTTCTCAAGTGTTCTTTTTTTCGGGTACTAAAAGCTCTACTGGTTTCCCAAAATAACACCACGAACGATTTGCACTGGGAATTTTATACACGTCGTTGGTCTGGGATTCCATCGAAGGTCGGAATTTCGGAGCTGGGAACTGTTGTTGTAGAGTGGTAAATGGTTTGTTTACAACTGTGACATCATGTTTTTTATC